CGTAACTCAGGACGCCCACAAACACAACAACAAATACGAGCGTATTATAATAGGCACGAGTTCCAGGTTGTTTACAATACTTAAACAATCTCATACATTTAAATAACAATAAACTAATGTATTACTGCTGATTGTTGATGGCGGCTTCATTCACACATAATCACATGTATCTTGGGGGGCGCAGATTACAGGTGCAAAAATTAAAATATTTTCGTCTGTTATTTAATTTATTAATAATTATTGTCGAATTGCAGTATTAATTTTCACCAGAATCTAAAAATCTAAAAAAGCAATATAAAGCTGTCAAAAAATCGTAAGCACGAAAACTATGACATGTTTGCACAAATAGATAATCTGGGCAATAATAAATAATCGATCCTTTATTCGATTGTACAATAATCCATCTTCACCGAATTAATTGTGATGTTTGATTAGCTTCGTTAAATGTGAGATTTTTAATAAAACAGGACGAATTTGTCTAATGATCCATGTACTTGTGAAGATATTTATATCTATATAATTCAATCGGGTTTCTATAGCAAAGAAAATGTCAAATTATATGGTACAATATGTGCGGGTTATCTACTATGATTGTACTTCATCCTTGCGTCAGTTTATGTATCAGTTTTTCCTTCAATGAGAATTTTCAAGTGTAATATTTATTTTACTTGAACACTTTGTTTTTTCCTTCTGTGATAGACTTAAGATTATTCTGCTGAATATATTAATGAATTATTTATTCTAAAGTGAAAACTAACGCCGCTCTGCGATGATTTTTCGTTTCTCAGATGAAAATTTCAAAAAAAAATTTCTTCATAGCCTGGTGAGTGTTGTTAAAATTGGCAATTTCGTCGTCCACCCTACAAGAGAATAAAAGAACAGCTACATAGTAGACGCTCGGTGTTGCTTGTAGATATGCCATGGCAGTGGAATGAATTCAATTCCGTACATGATGAGTTATGAGTGTGCCATACTCGTCCGGTGTTTGTAAGGTGCTGTACTCGTCCGGTGTTGGTAAGGTGCTACACTCGTCCGGTGTTTGTAAGGTGCTGTACTCGTCTGGTGTTTGTAAGGTGCTACACTCGTCCGGTGTTTGTAAGGTGCTACACTCGTCCGGTGTTTGTAAGGTGCTACGCTCGTCCGGTGTTTGTAAGGTGCTACACTCGTCCGGTGTTTGTAAGGTGCTACATTCGTCCGGTGTTTGTAAGGTGCTAGATTCGTCCGGTGTTTGTAAGGTGCTACATTCGTCCGGTGTTTGTAAGGTGCTACATTCGTCCGGTGTTTGTAAGGTGCTACATTAGTCCTGTGTTTGTAAGGTGCCACACTTGTCCTGTGTTCGCACGGTTTTGATCTCGCTTCCGGGTTGCCTGCCGAAGACCACCACTGCCCTGGATGTAATGGACTATCATGATTCCTGCTTTCCGGAACGTAGCCTTCAATACTTCTGGACAATCATATCTGTGCCGTGCGTCGAACCAGCCCTCGGACGAACGGTCACTCGTCGAAGGATGATAAATTTTGAAACAGAACTATGCTATCTGAAACCTAACTTCAGATGCGGTGAACGTAAAATTACGTAATTTAGCGATGCCCAAAAGTCATATTCGATCCGCGGCATGGTGGTCACGGTTGGTTTTATGCAAGGCCGGAGGACGATAAAGCCTAGTGGTTCAAGGTTGATTGGTGGATGTCCGGAGAGATCCAGGGCATCTGATTCAGGGCTTATTGGATAATTGGTGCACAAAATTAGTGGTGCACGGCTGCGCTCCCTCGCTTCCGCCTGTGTTAGGTGAGTCCGCCTTCAAACAAGTTTTTAATAAAGCAAAGTAATCGATGGAAGAACGAAGATCGTACTCTTATGTTCCTATGCTAAAATAATGATTATATGCTTCAAAAATTTTAGTCCTTTGGTTCTGATCACAACAAAATTCAGGTATGACCAACACTTATCAAGTAATGCCGGCCTTAATTGTATTATTTTTCAGAAATTGCAAATTATTTGTCTCTATTTTCGGTTGTCACTCGTTTACTGAATCAAAAATCATTCATCCAACATACTTACTGGTATTACCAACTGTCTTTTTGAATTGTTTCTTAATAATAAAATTCACCATGCATTAACTAGCATAAATTCTTCAATAAGATATTATCAGCATTATATGGCATGCTGACAGCGACCACCGGCAGTTGTGTGCCGAAGCAATGACGGCACGCTTTTCACTGTAGGTCTGAGTCTGACCTCATAAATTTTAGTGCTCTACTACACGACTTTCGCAGAACTTGTAGCGGGAGGAGTTAACACTTTGCTGCCTCGTCAGAGTGTTGTCTGCATCACTTTTACTGCCATTAGAGGGGCTTTCTGTTCGCCATTCAGAGCCTATACGTCACATTTTCAGATCTCTTTAAGGTTTCAGGCATGTTTGTTGCAGCAGAAAATGCTAAGATGAAAAAACTGACTGATAAAGGTTAACAAAAGTGTTGGAGCTTCTCTTCATATGACCAAATATTTATAATTCACTGTTTATATTAACATTTTGAAACTTTAATTTGCAGGAAAATACCATCAATAGTTCATCTCTCTCCCTTATTTTACCTTATTAATATTTAATTGATTTCTTGGGTCTTGAAGTCAGCGCGTTAGAAGTGCGTCTTTCTCTGTTTTTTTTTTTTTTTTGAAAGATCCAATCCAATTTACAAATTGCGTAACACAGTTACGATCCAATAATGAAGTATTTTTTTTTGCACACGGGATAAGTAAAGGTCGCGTTCTATGACAGTGAAATTGTCGTTTAAAAGTCACATAAGGTACTTTACTGATAATTATTTTAAGCCTGAATTTGGATGAACTCAATTTGGGTACGGAAATAATTTCCCGTTTTGGGCCATCTTTCTCGTTCAGGGATTCTCACCGCCTCCTTCAATGCCGTTTCTGTGTCTGGACTGGGGAACTAGATTGCCGAAGATCCTGAAGCCAAAAAGGCGCGAGTTTAAAAGTTTTCTTCGTAAAGAACTACGTTCATTTCGTATCCGTGAGAGATTGGTATCGCCAGGCTGCATTTCGTGGCAGAGGGACGCAAAAATTTACCAACACTCAGGCAAAAATGTTCCTAAAGAGCGCATTGAGGGTAGGAATTCTAACTTAATTCATGGTTCTCATGCAGACAAGCTGGGCTTGCATCAAGAGGTTCATGAAATGTGATCTAAATAATAGTTTTCCAATTTTACATGAACTATTACTTATTAAGCTGATGCTCATTGAACTTCAAAAGTTTTTAAGTTGTAGGCTGCTTTTATTTATTATCATTATCATAAACGATTCCAGTTTGACGAGAAATTTAATTCACGTGAATGTATCGAAATGTTCATTCTCGCCGTGTTAATCTGTAGTTTTTTTGAATAGAAGAATCAGTATGAACCTCGGATATCTTACTTATATGCTAAACTTATCACCTTGCTCATGATTATTCATGGAACTTGCCTCCCATCACGACGATTGGTCGCAATAGTAATAAGTAATAAGTCGTAAGTAACTCGTAATAATTCTGAAATGTTTTGCCAACTAGCTAAAGCAATCAGGCTCCTCGACAAGCTCTAGAAGTGCGTTCCATGTGTTACCGCATGAATAACATGAATGTTGCATGAGGCTGAAGTGTCCGAAACAACGTCAAGCGCTGTCGCACTATAACAGACCACGATTTTACGATGCCATCCGGTTTTTCATCTTGAGTTCTTCAGTGTGAGAAGCAGGCGAAGGTGAGAGCAGGAAAGATTGCTTGTAAATGTGACTGGTTATTGTAAAAAAACGGACACTTGCAAATGACATGCTTAATACGACTATACGAGGTTTCTTGAATCCGGAATCATGTAGCTAAAGAATCAAGTTATTTTGGAAATGTGTGTACTTTTGTGACTTTACTTTATGCCATAAATTCCTGGTCTTAATAATTCTAAGATGCCCAATGCATATTTGATTAAAATTATCACTACCAGTAAGCCATTACTGAACTAATATAAAGTTGACCAACGGCGATGACGATTTTTCCCGTTCTGCGCATCTCTTGAGTGAGGTTACTGTGGGCACAAAATGTAAATAGAGTACAAATCAGTTTGAACCGCACGGTGACGTCACAAGTTGACGTCAAAACGACCAAGATGACATCACGGATGGAATAACAAATGACATCCGCAAGGCGCGGCTGCGCGTGGGTCAACCTTGTATTAGTTCAACCATGACACTTCCATTCGATTGAGCCAAAACATCGGTTCAAAAACATCAACAACAACAATAATATGTATATCAGCATATCTTCTGGTATCCAAGTCACGAAGTAACATCCACTTCACCCGGCAATTGCTATCAAATCTCTATCACTAAGTATCGGCAAAAAAAATTAAAATTCACCGTCATTAGAAAAAATTTTAAGAGGCTTGCATTTAAGAAAAATTATTGAGATTTTCTTTATTTTAAATTTTGAATGTAACGTTTTAGAAATTCTCAAAAACGGATGGGGAACTTTTCCAACAGAACTCCGTCCAGCTGTGTTTTGTTTACATGCCGTTGCCCGTTGTCATGTCCGCAGGTACAATCTCTGTGTAACTGAGTCTCGTAAGGGACATGGGGGTCGGCCGGTCGGGGCTCGGGGGACAACCCCACATCCTAACTTCCTAAATTCCTAAGTAAACAAATAATCTGTGTTTCGCAACGAGAGTTGTCACTATGCCACTTCCTAGTTCATTCTGTGACCTGTGTTACAAGTGAATGAAGTGATTGTTTATCGCCAAGCATTCAGTCATTTCAGTGTCACAGTGCAGTCCGAGCTCCAATGCTACCATCTAATGATTTCAAAAATTTGTTGATTCAATAATTTCAGTATTTGTTGACAGACTGACAGTTTTGACACAAAATTCCACTTCTAATCTGACCATATTTTCTGACTGTTCTGTGAAGTGACAGAAGCATGAGCTTTGAAGTTAGTAACTTCATTTATGATTCTACAGCTTCATTTTCATTAAAAGGCTAAAAATGAATCTCACGGTGCTGAGCTGGAATGTAAATGGGCTGCGATCACTGAAAGTACCAATGGTAGACAATTTAAATCAATTAAAATCAGATATAATTTGTATGCAAGAAACTAAAATTACAAGTAAGTTTTTATTCATGTCATTCATAATTCATTCACCGGTATTATTGCAGATTAACTACATCCAAAAAAAAGGGTGTTTTTTTTTTTTTAATTATATGTTTTTTGGGGTGTAGATTACGAATCTGAAATCCATTTTTGGCGGTCGGCATCGGAAAACCGATTTTTTGCAATAATACCGATCACATGTAGCGCACGACATCTTGAATGAAACTTACCCGTTGCACTGCAACGGGTAACATTTTCGTCTTCTTTGTCCATAAATCTGGAGATACATTGCCACAGTGAGTGGGTAACGTAAGTTACGTAACCCCCATGTTAGTAAATAAAGGTGAGTGGGTAACGTAAGTTGTCTGTTACGTAACCCCCATGTTAGTAAGTCGCGAAAAAAATTGGTTTTCCGATGCCGACCGCCAAAAATGGATTTCAGATTCGTAATCTACACCCCAAAAAACATATAATTAAAAAAAAAACCCCCCCTTTTTTTTGGATGTAGTTAATCTGCAATAATACCCATTCACCCACTATGCAAAATTAGATTAGGATCATTAGGTAGGTATAGTTTTTATGCTGTTTATTCAAAAATTTTTTGTCAGTGGCATTTAATAATTTTAAAAGACTATAAAGTTCTGGAATGCAGGATGGTAGTAATAAATTACTTTTGATCCACCTTGGCACCTTAGCTAGTTTTTTTAATCAAAATTTTCATTAAGATAGAAAATTAGAAAGGGAATGGTGCAGACTGCGACTGGAAAGCTAGTTGGTAAAATTCATACATTTTTTTACATGTCAATCATGGCTGTAATATAATATAATATCAGCATGACTATGAAATAGCAAGTATGAAATCTTGCTGCTCTTATGTTGTCTATTTTTGTTTGATTGCTATTGCGGTGGTTAGTGGTATAAAGGTATTGCCATTTGCACTTTGCAAACATGTCATTTCTTAAAATTTTTAAATTCAGCAGTACTTCAACCGTTCAATGCTCCAGCCAAAATATCCTGCATATCGTTATGATAACAACTAACGAGTCAACCCAAAATGTTTATTTGAAAATTGCATAGTTGTAGTCACGTCAGAGCCAGGGTGCAGAGGGTGGAAGCAACGTTGCCAATATAGGGGTTTTTAAGCCCAAAGCATTGCAAACCATTTTCAAGATGCATCGCCAGGTTATTTTTAATGAAAAGCCATTTACGCTGAGTAATGAAAAATTATTTGCAAGCCACGAACTTATTTACAAGGTTGCATGCACGTGTTACCCCAAATAACTAATTTTACCCTATAAAAGTCCTATTCTGCAGCAAGTGTCAACTGAACATGTGATAATGATAATGCAGTCTGACTGCTCTAATGTGACCGCAACTACGCAATCGTAAACTTGTTGTTTACATTTGCGTGGGATATTTCTGGCGAGTACTCACTGCAACTGATTACCGGACAAGCTTCACTGCATCCTGATCCATCCAACGTACCTACCAGAAACCTTACTTTTTTCTAAATAGTTGGCCAAAGACTGGCATTGGCAAATATATTAAATGCAAGAATTTCAATCTAAATGTGTTGGCAAGATCTTCTGAAAGCTTAAATTTTGCTACTGAAGCGTTGCCAAAGATTGTGCAATATTCATCCACTCTCTGCACAGTGGTGTCACAGCAGTCAGACTGCATTATCATTATCATTTAGTTGCCAGTTGCTACTAAAGTAAAGACAAATGTTATGGCTGCTGTTTCTCCATACCAGGATGGTGCAGTTACTGTGGTTTTCTGTGGATTAATCCGGCATATACATGGCTCTGAGCATAGTGACAAAGCAGAGAGTTTTTAAGGGGACCTTCTCCCTTTTATGAAAACTTTTTCATTTACAATTGAATTATTTTGAAACTTGGTACACATACCGGTACCGTATGTAAAACAGAAATCTTAGAACTTTTTGTTCCTGTAAATTATTTGACAAAAATGAAAGAAAACTTGAAATTCATAGAAAACAGCAAAAAATGGGTACTTTGAAAATCTATCTCCCCATACAAGTATTGTGTTACAACATTGAGATACATATCATTTGATTTGTAACAATCATATCTAAAATCCATGTGATCATTTTTTTGAACTTCGAATTGGTTCGGGAGGATGGGGGATTTTCCAAAATTTTCCCCCAAATTTCAAATTTTCCTCCCTCCACCCACCCTTTTTGCAAAATATAATCTTAACTATAACAAAATTGAAAAAATTACCGGATGGTTTCTAGAGATTTCATTTACAAATTAAATGGTACTATATGTCTCATCGCTGTAGCTTCATAACTCTAGGAGGAGATTGGTTTGCTGTGACAATAAGAGTGAATGTTCAGGAGAGTGCAACAAAGTCCTGCGCGAATCGCAATAGGCACTCAATGTAGCAAGGATACAAAAGTAAATGTTACTGCAGCTTGATTCCAGTCAAGGATGGTGGGAACAACTGCATGCACACCTCCTCATATGACACCAGGCGGTTAACTGAGCTGCAGCTAAAGCAGACGCTCTATTTAAAGTGCTTGGCAGCTAATATCCTTCTACCATATTCTATTTGTTAAAGAACTCCCACATGCCCCTCTCTTTCATGATCTGTCATGAACTCATACATCAACGTACAGAGATGGTTTTACTACCGTTGGATAGGTCAGAATGTCATCTTTAAGATGAGACTGAAAACCGGAAAAACGAAAATCCAAAATTTTGGGGGAGACGCTCCCCTTAGACTCTCCATCAAGTTCCATTTATGAGTCCTACAAGTAGACCAGTAAAGTATCATGGATACCAGCATTATCATACGTTATAAATTTGTTGAAATTTTGCGTAAATGAAAAGGTAGAAAATGAACTGATTCTAAAAATCTCTGCTTTGTCACTAATGGCCCTGGCACTTGGCTCGGCGTACATGAGGAAAAATTTGTGTTCTTGGCATACATACCGAGCGTATACTGTACATCAGGAAAAATGTCATGCGCCACACTCGGCCACAGCATACTATACATTCTAGCGCTAAAAGCACAGGGCATAGCATATGGTTGAACTGGTATCAGGTTGACACATAAGAAGCTCATTTTTGCGGATGTACATTGATTATATATTCCTAAGCTCCCAATGGTGATGTTTAGCTGGTGACAATGGTTTCGATTTGTCCTTTGTTCGTGAGTTAAACAGACATATGGAGAAACAACAGACATTTCTGAGGCGGATTTTATGTTTGCATTGACAAAGAGCCATAGGTATAGGTATAGCCGTATAACTCGTAAACGAAGAAAAAACAGAAAAATTGACACAAGCCAAACATCACCGTTGGGAGGTTAGGTTTGTATACTCAAAGTTTCATTCAAATTCGTTCAGTAGTTTAAAAAAAATTTCTTGGGTCACTGTGAATTTCGGCCCGTATTGCTCCATAACTCATGAATGAAAGTGAAACAGAAAAAAAACATCAAAATTAAAGTAAAAAAAAAATTGTAACGAGCTAAACATCGCCGTTTGCAGGTTAGGTTTGTATGTTCAATGTTTCATTCAAATCTGTTCAGTAGTTTAGAAGTAATTTCTTGGCCACTGCAAATCGAGAGGAGATCGAGGAGAATTTTCTTAGGTATTGGTGGAGCCGGCAAAGTTGGATGAGAATATACGTGCTTGGCAATGATTCCTACCGTTTCTTCAGTGGGGCGTTGGTGAAGAGTCTGGTGACATCAAGTGACGTGAGAAGGCCAGATGGGCGTGCAGCAAGGAGGATCTCCAAAAAGTCGTCTCTAGATTTCAAGGAGAATTGCTTTAGGATATACGGTTTACCAATGTCCCAACTGAAGAAACGTTAGGAATCATTGCCAAGCATGTATATTCTCATCTAACTTCGCCGGCTCCACCAATACCTAAGAGAATTCTCCTTGATCTCCTTCGACTTTGCACTTCCAAATCACCTTTCCGGGCTCCCGACAACAATATTTACCGACAAACCAACGGCGTTGCCATGGGCTGTCCCTTGGTCCTACTTTTGCTGAGTACTATATGTGCGAAATTGAAAATCGAGTGCTTTCCGATGAATAGATCAAGCCTGAATTGTACTGCCGGTGTGTCGATGATATCTTCGTTGTCGTTCGAGATGAAGAACAGTTGAGGAATCTGCGGCTGGCCTTTGAAATGAATTCTGTCTTGAAGTTCACCTTTGAGCTCGGCCGAAATCGTACTCTGCCCATTTTAGATATAGTCGTGCAAGCCAAAAATAATTCATTCGTAACCAAAGTACCTATACCGGAAACCCACAGATGTTGGGAGAGTCCTGAACGCCGCCAGCGATTGCCCTGAGCGCTACAAAAAAAGCGCAATACGTGCCCCCGTTCAACGAGCTCTCAAAACCTGCTCATCTGAAAATGACTTGAATACGGAACTGAGAAATTGCAAAGGAATCTTAGTCAATAATGGATTTGCAAATAGAACAATCGACGCAGAGATCTCCAAGCTTCGATCAAACCAGAGCGGACTCAACAACGAACCAGAGACTAACGCAAACGTAACAACCATCTAGTACGAGAATCAAATGACAAGCAGTTATAGAGCAGATGAACGGATCCTCCAATCCATCGTTAACAACAACATCGTGAGCTTAAATAACAATAAAATTAAACTACTGATCTATTATAAAAACAAGAAAATACACAATCTTGTAATGAACAATAACCCCTACAAAAGGATGTTGGGAGAGTTTTCCAAGAGACCAATGTAGTCTATAAGTTTTCCTGTTGTAAAGTTAGTTTTCAACACTGACTACATCGGACTCACAACCACGACATTAAGCCGACGTCTCACGTGCCACCTTCAGTCTGGTGGACCAAGGAACCACCTGATGGAAGCCCACAACGAGACCATCACTCGTACGGTGCTGGAGGAGTGCACCAGCGTCGTCATGCGATGCCCCGACGCCAACCGACTGGCGATAGCTGAGACCCTCATCATTAATTAAGGATAGGACCCCAGCCATCAACCTACAAGCTACTGGATTTGTCAGAACTTTGAGACTGTTTTTGTAGTAATTTTTGTTGTTTCGATTTTTGTTCATCTTAATATTTTAGTGACTAGGCATTATTTCTAGCCAATTCTGTTTTTTGAGTACCTAGTATCCTATTTACATGATTTTGTACTTATGTCGACCAAATTTCGTCACTTAATGCACCTTTTAACTTGATAATGAATGAATGAAACATTCAAAACGTCGTTAACGAAATAAGATGTCCATCGGTAACCTGATTTTCGAATTGCCAGTTCAAACTAAAAATATTGTTCGATATATTAATGAGTCTGTACGTATATGTTCCTGTATGTATATGAGTACATTCTTGTTTCTTGTGCTTATGATTGGTAATTGCCTAACTGCAGCAGGTGCAACAAGATGAAAATTAATTAAAATTGCCAGCCTTGACTACAGTGAGGGAATATAGAAATACCTACGGTATACAAGAATATACATACAAATTCAATACCGGTATACAGTACCTACTATTAAATTTGGCTCATGTGTGTAATGCAATTATTTCTTCAGAAATAGCTTTCTATTTTGGATCAATTTTTTTGTCAAAATTCTATCTTCTGGCATCTAAATTTTTTTAACGAATTTTTCAATTTTTCAATGTCTTCAATGAAGACAATTTATTGGGAAAATGTATCTTCAAACCACTTATCTTTTTTATTATTACAGGAGATATGCTCAGTGAAGATCTTGCTCTTGTTGATGGATACTCTTCCTATTTTTCATTCTCTAGAAGAAGGTGAGTTGGTGTTTCTAATTTTTTTATTGTTTTGTTCAAAAATTTTATTCTTGATTCATAAAATTAGCAGCATAAGCAATTTGTGAGTCTTTGTCATTGCAAATTGCAGGTACTGAAAATTGTATTATTTTATGTAAAATTTTTCTTTAAAATTAATTTTTTTAATTAGATAACTTACTGGATACAGCTATGGTAGGTACGTAGCGTACATAACCAGGTATTCAACGTGTGTCCTGTTTATTCAGCATTTTAGCTCATTAGGTTTCCTTTACACTTGTTTTTAAACTAGGTATGGATTTTTGTTCCCTAACATCCATTTACAACTTTACAGGAGTGGATATTCTGGAGTGGCAACATATGTTAAAACGTCATCCACTCCATTTCATGCCACAGAAGGATTGTGTGGAACTCTTATGAATGACCAATATTTCACTCAACCACAAAATGGTGACAAATGTGTTAATGAGGTAAGTATTCAAACTTTTCTGTATTTATAGGTAATTTTCAACCAATACCTCATTATATATGTACAGTACTTATAGTAATTTTTGATAACTTTTAAGACAGTATTTAATTTTCAATAAAAGAGTTATGAGTTATGACTGTTTTTATGCATCTTTTCCAGGATATTTCTTCTTCTGTTATTGCTGCTGCTTCCTCTCCCTTGTTTGGTGAATGGACCAAACAAACTCTGCGAGAAATTGACTGTGAGGGAAGAACTGTCATGACTTTTCACAGAACATTATGGGTAAATCTGAAAATACTAAATCTGAAAAATTGTTTCCTCATTAAATTTTGTATTTACTGTCTGTTGCTTGTCTGCTTCTAATAATGCCTCATGTACCCAAGCAGTCTCACTTTTGCACTTAACTTTGCTGCATGTTATGAAAATGATGTCATGCTAGCCAGACTTGACTTTAGTTGCATTGGGTGTGGCTAAAATATGAAGAAGTTAACTAAACTTTGTTGAAAAGCATTTATTTCACTTTGTTTTAGACTGAATTTCCATCATAAAGTTATGGCTTAAATTATGTGACGATTCATGTGTTCACGACTTCACGAGAGGAGAGTTTCTGAAATTCGAATAAGCATTTGATTGTAAAAGCTTGATATGGGGTAACTCTAGGTTGCTTGATTTTGGGAAATTCCCAGTATCAACACTACTACAATGATTAAATTAATCACATTCATGCTAATCAACTTATTTTTTTCTTCCTTTTAAGTAGTACTAGTTTCTAATGAATATGTACGTACATGTACTGGTAGGTACCTATATTTTTTCAAACCTGAAATTTAGCTTTCTACTCGTTTTGTTTTTGATGCCTTATTAATATTCTTCACCTGCTTCCAGGCGCCTGCGCATGAACCTTCTGATCAAGATTCACTCTCTTCACAACCTGGCATACTGGCCCTTATAAACGTCTATTGCCCACGAGCTGATCCAGCAAGAGCTGACCGCGTCCAGTTCAAACTTGCCTTCTACAGAGCTTTGAGGCTACGTGCTGCTCTGCTCGCCCAGGCTGGTGCCAGAGTCCTGATTGTTGGGGACTTGAATACGTCCCACACTGTCCTGGATCATTGCGACCCTGACGAGGTGAGATCATCAGAGTCATAGGCAGACTCTTTGGGAAATCGAGATAGTGCGGTTGAAGGCGCACAATTTTCATCTGTCTTTCTCTGATGAATAAGATCTAAAAGAGCTGATGTGGTGCAGTTGTTAGATGCTCTGTCTCACGCACCCAGCGCCCGGGTTCGAGTCCCACTGAGGACAAGTTGGTTCTTCCGGGAAGCTCAGCTCATGGTCAACTCAGCCATTCATCCAACTCTGGTTGATAAATGAGTACCTGGCTTGTCCAGGGTGTTGTGTAATGCAATCAAATGGTTCTGGCGGGTCAGCAAGCCAGTGATGGTCGTGGAACTACCAGTGGCACCGAGTGCCCGGAAAAACTGACCTATCACCCCCCCTCCCTAGTCGCCACTACCAGGATGGGCAATTACAACAATAATATCTAAAAACCTCCAGTGCCACCGAAGATGGAAAAGTACATAAACAATCCCTTAAGTGTTTTCCTCATTGTGATGAATGTTTTCTTGGATTGCGGTCGTCATACGCAATTTATCTATGCATTAGCTACCAGATTTTAGAGGCCTGTTCATTGTGAAGGCGTAGGTTTTACAGGTTATGTATATTCATATCAGAAAGTTAATTATATTCATATTGGATGTGCTAGTATTTTGTTTTGAGAAATAGTTCTTATACGACGAGTGTCTTTGTACGTCGATGAATATATTCCTATTCTTAAGCTTTACCGAGTATAATTTTGGATAGGTATTTGGTTTATGTTTGCCAGTCAATGAACTCGTAATTGATTGTATTTGTCACGGGCGAAATATCGAAGACAAACTTATGAATAATACAAGGTTAATTTTGAGAAAAATTTTTCGCACCATCGTTTACACATTTTATATTCCCAGCTTCGTGATATTGCTTTGTTTCTATTCAGAATTATGGTTTGAAATGGTTTACCTAGGTAAGAAAAATTGTAACAAGGTTTCGGATAAGTACCTATGCATGATCCAAGTTGTAAATTTCTTTGCGTAGTACGTATTACCTACTATATAAATTATTTATTTTTCTAATCTTTTAGACAGTAGTTAGTTAGACTTTTCATTACTTGCAGGATTTTCATCTGAATCCCGGCAGGCAATTCATGAATGGATTCCTGATAACGCCTGAGGATGTCAAGGAATGGTCGTGCAGTTTCCTCGGCCATGGCAGACGCGATCAAATCCCGAAATCTGAGCCGTTGGTTTTTGATGGACGAGAAGCCTCCTCTGGAACTGACAAGCCTCAAACAATGGATAACCACTGCTTCATCCCTGATCAAAGTGGTAAAGATTTCGTGACAGTTGAAAGACATGGAGAGACCAGCTTGACTTCTCGGACGAAAGATGAGGCGCATGAAAATCAATCTTCGTGTCCGAATATTGGAGTAAATGACCACAATTCTTTGGAGAAAGGGAGACCATTGGATGCCGTCGTGCAAGATGGGAATTATTACTCTGACCCGTTAATGGCCCTAAAGCTATATCGAGACTTCAGAATGATTGATACTTTCAGAGCCCTGTATCCTAACAAAAGGGATGTATTTTCCTGTTGGAATGTTAAGGCGAACGCTCGCGAGACGAATTATGGGACTAGGATCGACTACGTACTTAGTGATCCGCTGCTGTTCTCTCAAGTCTCGGACTCGCTGGTTTTATGCGATATAATGGGAAGCGATCACTGCCCAGTTGCTTGTCATTTGAAAATCACTGTTGTTCCAGCTGAAAAATTACCTCAGTTCTGTTCTAAAAATTTTGTCGAGTTCCAAGGAGAGCAACAGAAACTTTCTACTTATTTTCAGAGGAAGGAAACGTTGCCTGAAACCCAAGTGGAGGTCGACCACCAAAATTGGACAAAGTTTGGTGCCAAAAGAAAGTGCGATGATGTAGCCGTTTCGGAAAATACTGAAAGTAAAAGAGGGACTTTGAGTGCCTGCTCCGTAAGCCTTGATCATAAATTGAAAAGTCAATCATCCGCTGACATGGAAAATGAGAAATTCCGTATTGGAGTAAAAAAGCCCACACCCTATTCTAGTCCATCATCAAAGGGAAGAAGTAGTAAGAACTTGTTGAAAAGGCGGGAATCCAAAAATTCTTATCAATCGAAGTTGTCATCGTTTTTCTCTGCCAACAACACTCAAGTCTTGCCAACCAATTATGATGACTCGCTACCCTCGCTAACCTCTCCTTCAATCAAATCAAAGTTTTGTTCTCAGAATCTAGAATACAATCCCAGTGAAAAAAGTAACCCATTATCTCTATATGAGGCGGAAATGAAATACTTGCAGGATAATCCTGATATCTACAAAAAATTGAATATCGACAACGATGGTGATGTGAACATGGACATTTTAAGTACGGTCGTCAAATGTAATGATGTTGGAAATGTTCCAAGACCAAACAAAAGTGCAGGAGCTGATGAGGGCTCCTTTGCGGACGCATTAAACATGGTGGAAGAAATAATAGACCAGTCATATTTTAAAGCAAAGCAAGAGAAAAATATAACTAATTGTGGCATCGTGAAACAAATATCATCTACTAGCAACCAATTGTGTGAACCACTGCCGATTCCTAAATCTCCTAGACCTAATGCTCAAAATGAAAATCTAGTGGCTACCGTTAATCACAATCATTCTACTTTAAAAACTATAAGCTACACATCTGAACATTCTTCGGAAGTAAGAAACGACTCTGAATTATCGAAGACACAAGTAAGTGCTAATAATGGGGCTTCTGACTGGTCATTTATGAAGCAGAAGGCGGCCATTCCTTTATGCTCGGGACATAAAGAGCCTTGCGTCATGAGGACTTCCAAGAAGAAGGGTGTAAACTTCAACAGACGTTTCTATGCCTGCCGTCGGGGTGCCGGAAGGCCTGGCCAGAAAGACGCACAGTGTAACTTTTTCAAGTGGATTTGAACGCCCTGGTTATTGTCTCTTTTTTACTATAGTCTTGTGAATTTAAATTTTATGATGGAAACTGCTCAGGCTGGTACTAAACTTTTTTGTTGGAAGCGTCATGGAAAAAAATTTATTTCGTAAATATTTCTCATTTAATATCAGGGGTCAACATTACCGATCGTTTGCAAGTTTCGGACGTAGTAAATTAAAAAAATGCTCCCACAAATCCAAGAACATCGTTTAAACGCGCCCTGTAAAAGTATTCGGAGGAAGTATACCTTGATTCTTCTATGATCCTCAATGATTTATCACGCATTCGGCAAGCTGTGACAGTACTCTAATTAAATCCGAGTCTTTATTGTTTGTCATAGAAAGGCACTTACATTTTAATGTTGTTGTTTATGGATGGCGACCCGCTGCCTTGTCACCGTTAGTCACCGTGTGCCGTGTCCTCGACCGCACTTGCGATTCTAACTTTCTAATTGGATGTTCAAATTGCTCTGTAATAAACCTGCGCATTTTTGTAAAACAAATGGTTGAGAAATACTTTTTAATCTATTCATTGTTTCAAATTTAAATATCCTTCAACCCATTTTAGCCTCTCGCTACCTGCAACATAAAAAATAACTTATCAAAAAGACAAACGAGTCGAAAAATAAAAAAAAATCAAATAAATAAAAAACATAAAAAATAAGAAAAACACGAAAAAAAAAATCTTATTTTTATTTCTTTTATTTAAAAAAGATAAAAAAATCACCAACCCTGGTTGTGATACCTTCGAACATAGGTTGACGTCCCGTTTTTTCATCTCATGACCCGAAGTAATTTTATTTATTAATTAACGCGGTTTTCAATTACTTGAAATAATGCTGCTCTGAATTGTTTCGATAATAGTTTTAACAGTGATGGAAATCACTCCCGTGTGTACATGCTGTAGATCGGCTTTAATGAAGTAACCGAGGTTCATCATTGTTACGAAGTATTGTTCACTGCAGTGACAGTAATCTATTGAACAGCAGTTCGCAAACTTTGATGGCACGTTCTCATATACTTACACTAATAAATAGTATCACATGCTCTTTATGTAACACAATGCGCTGGTAACTAGTGTATTAGGTTTAATTTAGGTAATAGAGACTATCTTTTTAATTTAATGGGAGTCTCTGGGACTAGGTGAGCGACAGAAGTGCCGGCCAGATTATCTTCGTGTTAATTAATGTACAATGTAGGTGTGTAAAAAAGTTGCAGTACAAAAAGCCCATAGTTCGATAGTGGAAGTTTGCAGCTTGAAATGCGTCACGTGGCATTTATCGTACTCGCACAATTTGGAGACCACTGTTTTCGTGGTCTTGAGTTTTTATTTTTTATTTTTTTTTTTGGACCACTGTTTTCGTCGATAGCAATAAACTAACCAAATTTTTCTTGAGTAAGTTAATATTTTATTTTAAACTTCACACAAAGTAGATTGTAATTCATTTTTGTCTTTTTTATGTAGTTAGGATGGATTCAAGATGAAGATATAATCCTCATTATTCTTTTTATATAAAAAAATTGAATACTTCGCACTAGAAAAGACTGCGTTGCAACTCATCCACGCGACAATATTTCTTTTCGCTTCGAATCGCCGACATGTGCAACAACCTTCTTGAGTACATCGTTGACGTTCCGAGCATAAACGCGTTCATGAACGGACTAGTTAAAGCTATAGAAAAATATATGTTCAGCCTTGAAATGCCTAGCATCGTATCGAACCCTGTGTAAGTCTAGTAGCTATTTCAAACTATCGTTAGTCCTGAAAAGATCCGGTCAAATGACACGGTTTTAGATCTTCTGTGAACAAGTCAGGAAAAGTAAGAATCGGCGACTGGCCACATCAGGCCTACTCTTCAGCGCCGACATCACTGTGTTATGTTATGTTAGACTCGAGTCTTTGGCACTATTCAGAGTTTGAGGTCATGAAGTGGGACTGCAATAATTGCACGGTCATGAAGATACATGTTTTGATGAAACTTTCCAGCTTAAATCCACTGGACATGTATTTACAATTTCATTTAGTTTAAGAATTTAATTCATACACACGAGGTAAATTTTTCCACTAGTGGCTAGCTTGGTTAGACTGCGGGTCAACAGGGAACCATGTTAGTCTTACAGTGCTTGTTGGCTTTTAACCTTGTAGAAATATTTTTAGGAGTGAAAAAAACTACATTCAGGAAAATTTGGTCATCTGTTTACCGCAATATTTAGATAAAATTTTTTGGTTGTTTCACAAACGAGCGCATTGGATTGAATTGAAAATATATGAGTACTCCCTGCCTAAACGAAGAGAATATTTTCTATGTTAGTTTATATAGGAGAAAACTTTTTGACCTTTTGTGGGATAACATCGGTAAGTTAGTAAATCAATGAATAAATTCAGACTTTAGAATTTTTTGTTCAAATATACTAAACCATTGATTTTATTTCGTCTAAATGATATTCACTACGACAATACTATTTACGAGAGTGATTTTTTTGTTTCAAAAGTTTGAATACTGATCTTGACGTCTATATATGGACTAGGTCTATATGTAGCAGACTATTCCGGTCTTCTTAGTTTTTACGTCATCCTGGAAATCGCTGCTCAATATTTTTTTAAATGATAACACATATGAGGCCGTCAGTTGTCACGATCTTTTCATGCAAGTAAATCCGTAAACAGTGTCGACTCAGAATTTTAGAATGTGCAGATATACGGACTGCGTTTTTGGCAACAGCGCATGAAATTATTCATAAAAACAATGTTCTTACAAAATTAAGGTCTTTCTCTGCCAAGAAGACTAACATGATATTTGAAGTTCCAACGTTTAAATTTTATTCGTAAACTCATGAATACATAATACTTTATTTCGAATGCGGATATTACTTAAAATATTGCTAACTTTTCACAAGCCAATGTTGCATTGTCTGCGAATGAGCGTCCACCAAAATTTCGATATCATTATTGATTCATTGGCGAGATATAATGAAATTAACTGAATTTCTAACTGATAATTTCACGACGTGGTTTAGTCAAACCACAAGTACTCCAGCCGATGAGAGTAGAGTCGTCTTCAATCAGGCCGATGGGAAGTCTATGACCCAGCCAAAAGTGGCGGCTCTAAGACGCTTTCCTCGTAAGTCGTCTCATTGTAGGCGTGAATGGCTTGAATTTCCCATCAATAGCGGTCATGTATCACTCCATTACAATAAAGCTTATAGTAAATGGCAGGCCATTGAATCGAGTCAGGCTCGCGGCATCCAGGCATGATTCAGCCTCCCCCATTTTAGATGAGATCGCATTAGTGAAACTCGCTGCTCTGCAGGCAGTGGATTTGCCGCAGCAGCGAACGGCCGATGAGGGATCCACACCAGCAAAGCGAGGGCTGGGAGCCGTCGAGCACCATCAAAAAACCACTAAATGAGACGAGGAAAGGGCGATAGGGAGGACGTAAGTGTCCACGCGAGCAAAAACAGACTTGAGTTTATTGCGAAGCGGTTTAAAAGTACAGGGTGGAGGGCTGATGAAAGTAGTAAATGTGAGGAGAAGGAACGTGGGACGAAAAAATGAAGTATTTGATGTTTGATCACGGGGACAATGTTTTTTTTTATCCGAAGATCTTTAGGCTCCTGACACGAGGCCTCAAGTGGGAGGCCTTTATTAGGGGGTGAGACGAAATGAGTAATTTATGATATTGAGTGTGCTACTAAACCGTATAATGCCATGCAAGGTCAAAATTTTTCAGATCAATGTAAAACATTTATATTAGGATAGGTCTGTACAGTTGAAATTCATTCTAAGTTATTGGTAAGTTCTTCAGACAAGTTCTTTATGGGAAAGTTATTTCGAGCTCTACTTGGAGTGCATATATACAATCACCATTGGGTTTGGCTTTAAAACACCAAAAAACCCTTATTCTATGGTTTTCAAACCATGGGTTTGGCTTAAAAACCCCGAAAAACCCTTATTCTATGGTAATCGTGTTTTAAAATATAATCACGATTTCATTGCTTATACTAGGCTATAATAAAATGATTTACAATAATCGGTATTAAGGTTCACTAATTTACAAACGACTCTGAATTAAATGAAGAAGTACAATGAAGTTACAAGAAACGTAACCGTTACAAATACGAGATTTTGGCCCCAATCGAGCAGATCGCTAGAAATAAATGAGACCTGGACACTTGGTTACTCGACCACGGCTCGTCACCCCGCAGTCTTCGGCACCATCAGCGGACTTGTGATCCGTTGAACACTCGAGGGAGAAAATGATGCTATCAATTTCATGCAAGACTTTCTGTTTTTTCGATCGCCAAAAAATCCATCTTGAGACGCCAGTGACCCTCGATCGCAAATGGAGTAGAAACAAGGAAGCACTTGTAATTCGTTTCGAGTGAGTTGATTTTGTAGCGTGAAGTAGGTCCTCGGCTATTTGAAACTTTGGTTATGTTTCAAATATTGTATGGTGAAATATCAGAATATTTCAGCGATCATCTTAAAGGAATACCTCTATAACCTATAGATGATATTCTAACATCAAACACATCCCTAATAAAATTATATATATATACATAAGTGATAACATAAATAAATCTATATTCAAATGAATTAAATGAATTATTCTATTCTAACATCAAACACATCCCTAATAAAATTATATTTATAAAAGTGATGACATAACTAAATCTATATTCAAATGATCAGAAATATTGTTTGAGTTGGAGTTCAACCATAGATAAGTTTAATGTAGCGCGAGTGAAATCAACGGTCCTCAGTTACCGCGTGCGCAAAGCAAGCCTCGGTTCGGAGCCACCCAGGATCGACTGTTCTCAAGAAAGCGGCAATAGTCGATGATTCGCTCAAAGCGATCCCGTAATGACCGCATTTATCTTACGCGACTTTAAGGGTATTGCCAGAGCGCTGCTCGGCCTCAACTTTTACATCATTTCTGTATTTTGCAGACCACACTTTCTCTTCGGCTAGCCAGAGCGTTTTACTGAAGTTTAAGCTCTCAAATGATGGTATGAGCTCGCCTTATTCTTCGGAAATCAGAATTGCGAAGATTGCTTCGCTTCTCTGAGTGGATCCTTTGCATGTTGCTGGTTGTTACTTGGAGGTGCCTCAATGAGATAAGGTGAGAATCAGCTTCGTTTGTTGCGTTATTTACAATATCTTTCGGGGAACATTTCTTGGCTTCTGAAGCACTTATAGTTATAGGTGAGCCTGGATGATAGATTCAAACGAAAAAATTCAATATCTTCTGCAAACCCTCATAATAGGTCTATGTCAATAGAGCAAACATATCGGTTGATCAAATTTATCTGGTTAAATTTTTCAACTATGTAAATGTATTTTAATGAATAATATTTTACCAAAAATTGTATTTTCCATCTAGAGTTCTCATTATATGAAGCAGTATCCTAAATGCAGAAGCCGCAAACAAACTGAGAAGAGTATAAAGCTGTGAATATTAATGCGGTCATCC